AAACATTTTCAAGGTTTGAATGTTTGAAATTCAAGGAAGAAAAAGGAGAATGAAAATTTTTATAGATGAAAAAAGTTTATTTAAAATTTTTACTTCATTTAAATCTTTTTTACATTTTCAGTCACAGTCATCCTTCAAAACCTTCAAAACCTTCAAAACTTTCAAAACCTTCAAAACTTTCAAAACCTTCAAAACCTTCAAAACCTTCAAAACCTTCAAAACCTCATCTGAGATAAACGACAAAAACTTCATTTCTCCTCCTCTCCTCCATCTTTTCTCCTCCTCTCCTCCATCATTTCTCCTCCATCTCTTCTCCTCCATCTTTTCTCCTCCACCTCCTGTCCCCCCTGTAGACCGTCTCTCACGCTGAAGCTGCTCCTCTAAAATCTCTGAAACTCTCGTGTTTCTTCAGCTCCTCGTTCATCATGAACTTTTCTCTCTAACCTTCAAAAAGACTTTCAAACCTGGAGTTGATAAAAACAGAGCAGCACCTGAACGCCTCACAGAGACCCTGCAGGTTTTATATTTGAACATTAAAATCACAAAATTAAACCGTGAAGGTGAAGAACGTTCAGCCTGTAGATATTTAATTTATAAATAAATAAAAACAACAACATTAATATTATCAATATTATTAATATTAATAATATTAATAATAATCTTATTAATATTATTATTAATATTATTAATATTAATATTAATATGAAACACTTTTCAGCCTTTTAATATAAAAGAGGAGATCTCAGCAGGAAAAACTCGACCTGCTGGTTTTTGAATAAGTGCTGTTGAAGTTTGGACCCAGAACGGTCTGAGACCCCCTGAAGTTCTCTGAGGTTCTCCTCTCATCCTCAGAGGGGGTTCTGGTCCTCCTTCATGATACTTCAGGTTCTTCAGTAGTCACACGGTTCTCCAGAAGTTCTTTAAACAGTCATTTCAGTAAGAACTCCAAAAGTGTCCTTCAGGGTTCTCCTTCGGTCCAGGAACTTTTTCAAAGTTCTTCAACATAAGAATCTCTTTCTTCAGAGACTTCTGGGTTCTTCATCTCGGAAACATCAGGAACATCAGGAACATCTCCGTCAGCTCAGAAACTTTGTGGGTCTTTCAAAAGTTCTTCTGGACTCGGCAGAAGTTCTCCACGTTCTGCTCTGAAGTTTCAAACTTGGACCTGAAGGTATCTGACCTTGACAGACGTTGGAGGTCCGCTCAGTCCTCCTGCGTCAACAGCGTCCCAAAGAGCCGGTCCCAGTGCGTGAAGTAGGGGGCGTAGTTGTACTTGGACTTCAGGTGGTGCAGGTCGTGGTGGCGGGCTCCTCCGTACAGGCCGAAGGGAACCAGGCGGTGCGTGGCCCAGGGCAGGTCGTAGCCGCAGTGGTCCTCCACCGACAGCCAGATGTTGAGCAGGAAGAAGGTCATCTCGGTGAGGGGGTGCGCTCCCAGGAGGGCGGGGTTACAGGCGGCGAAGAAGCCCAGACTGAGGGTCTCCCAGGCGCCAGAGTACTCGGCTGTGAGGGCCGAGGTGGAGGTGTAGGTGTGGTGCACCTGGAGGAGTAGAATGAGAGAGAGAGGAGAGATTAAGGAAAGACTCTTCTGGACTGAGGGTCTCAGGTGGGTCAGGGACAGGTGAGGGTCTCAGGTGTGGGGGGACAGGTGAGGGTCTCAGGTGGGTCAGGGGGTCCTCACCTTGTGGAAGTTCCTGTAGAGCCAGGGGATCCTGTGGTGCAGCAGGTGCCAGGTGAAGCTCTGGAAGTCAAAGAGCAGCAGGCAGACCAACACCTGAGCCAGCAGGCCAGGGAGGGGCGGGGCCTCGGTGGGCAGGTGGACGGGCCGCAGGTACCAGTGCAGGACCGTGAGCGGGAAGATGAAGAGCAGGTGGTTGTAGAGCGTCAGAGTCAGGCAGCTCCGCGCCGAGGCCCAGCTGAACGAGCTCTGAGGCTGCAGCTTGTACCTGCGCACCAGGGCCCACCTGGGGGACAGCAGGTCCAGCAGGAGGAAGGGCAGGCAGAAGGTCAGGTAGACCAGGAGGGAGAAGAGGACGGGGAAGACGGGTGAGGCGAGGGTGGAGGAGTGATGGAGGAAGAAGGTCCAGAGCGGCTGTAGAAACATCCTTCCATCAGATTATTCCGTCACTGTTCAGAGAGAGCGAGGAGCGGATTACTGACGGGTTTCATCATCACCACTGGTTTTATCTCAGCCCAGCCCCGCCCACTCTGCCCATATAAGGGCCTGTTCCTGCCCTGGAGGGAAGTCAGGGAGGTGAAGGAATGGAAACTCCAGACGAGTTCAGACAGTGTTTGTAGGTCACATGACTCCATTCAGAGAGACGCCCCCCCACCCGCCTCAAATTAACCCTTCGCCACAAATAACAAAGCGTGAGTCAGGTCTGAGGAGAAGTGAGAGAGAGAGAGAGAGAGAGAGAGAGAGAGCCGTAAACGTGAGATAAGAGGCTCTAATCTGTGAGAGCGAGTTTCTGCTGAGAGCGAGTTTCACTTTTTAGACCTTAGACAAAAAAAAAGATCAAATTTACAGACGAATCAGAACAACAGAACCTCCTCATCCTGGACTCCTCCGCAGAAAACTCATAAACAGATTAGATCAGATTAGATCAGATTAGATTAGATCAGATTAGATCAGATCAGATTAGATCAGATTATTATTTTTCATCCCTCAGTGGGTAAATTAAGTCATTCGTTTGTAGAATAAACTGACTGATGTCTTTATTTCTATTAAACTCTAAAACGAACAGAAAACAGAAAAACACTGAGTTTGATTTCACTGTAGGGCTGATACTGCCCCCTGATGGACACTTCAAGTATTACACACTGATAGATAGATAGATAGATATATAGATAGATAGACTTTACAAAATAAAATTAAATATAAGAAGAAGTACAATACAGACTGAAAATACTAAAAATACTAAATATATACAATAAATACAGACTAAATATAACAATAATAATAATAATATAATTATTATTATTATGATTGTTTATTTTTCCTGACAGGATTAAACCGGATTAATCCTGCTCAGTATTCTGAACACAGAGAAATGCTGCCTTCACTGACCGTCAGATATTTCCGTTTCCTCCTCGATCAGATGTTTTTACTGTAATTCCAAACGGCTCTTCTAAACTGAAGTTTCCTCTCCCGTGTTTCTGAGGACAAAGACAGGTTTATGTTGTTTATGTTTTGTCCTTGTTTATACTTAATGATCAATAATATTGATTGATCAGAGAGCAGACCTTTGTTTCTGATCATTAGACCTTCACTGTTTTTTATTCTCACTCTATTTAACTGTTAAATTTTAACATCATCTCCTCATCTGTCCGGTTGAAATCTCGTGTTTACGTGATTTTAACCGGACAGTGAAGGCATCACCAGAGTCCCGCTTCAGTTTCGTTTCTTCTCTCAGAGTCTGAATCGATCCGTGAGCAGCAGGATCAATAAAACAGACTGAACCATCCATCATCCTCCTCTTCATCCTCTTCATCAGAATGAGGTCAGTGATTTTCTCACTTCTGCTCATGAAAAAACTTTTTTAACTTCTGATAAAAAAATTGACCCGAAACGTTTCAGACATTTCGGTGTTTTTGTCTGTTTCCCTCCAGAGGAGACGAAGTTAGTTTGATATTTAAGGGAAAAAAAACATGAAGCTTTAATTCTCTTTTTGTCATCCCGCTGAAAAAAAGAAAAAGGTGTTTGAAGTCAGTAAAATGTAGCCTGGCCGGGCCGTCATGTTGCGTGAATCACTTCATGATAGTATGATAATAAAGGAGCATCAAGTGATTCACGCAACATGACGGCCCGGCCAGGCTAATTAACATGGTCAAAGAAATCGATCATGTGACCAAATCTTTAGGAGATGGTCATCAATTCACGGAGTCAGTGAAGGTTCGAAGCTCATGGCTGAAGAAGAGGTTCGACATTTATTTACAAAACAAACATTTTTTTTTCACTCTGTAAAGTGAGTTTAGTCTTTAGTCGTCAGTTTGATTAGAAATAAAGATCATTTTAAATGAGTTTTATCATCAACTGTGTTTTCTCTGAGCTCCAACAGGAGGTCAGAAACCTAACAGTCCACCATGTTATCTTGGAGGACTAATAAAGTCCTCATCGTAGTTCAGAGGAACAGAGGAAGTAAAGGAGGATCAGAGTTTCAGGTTTTCATAAACACAGATCTGTGGATGTTCTCAATCACTTTTTACGGCGGCCAAGAACTGCAAATAAAACAGAAGTCACAACAGAAGTTAATGACACAAAAAAGTGGCGATGGAAAAAAAAGTTACTGCGAAAATAAATCAATAAATAAAAGGAAAGGTTGATATGAAGTTGTACTGAAGTTAACTCTACTCCGACATCCTCAACGTTGTGACTTCTGTATTTTATTTTATTTTTTTGCAATGTCACTTTTTTTTGTGTCGTTAACTTCTGTTGTGACTTCTTTGTTTTTTTCATTTTCATTTATCTGCAGCGGTGGTGGTTCTCAGCCTCCGTATTTTAACAGTTATATGTAATAATAATAAACAGGATGATTGTTCCAGTTAAATAGATTATAACAGATAAAAATACACATGAATGTGAAGAAGTGACTGTTATTGAGGGAGAGAGAAGGTGAGGGATACGACTCAACTTACCCCGCTCCTATGGTCAACTCCCCCCCCCATACCCGGGGTAAGTTGACCATAGGAGACCCTGTTGTTGTCCTGCTCTCCTCTGAAGATGACAGTTCTGTTTACTCTCATTCTGATGAAGAACTTCCTGAAATATCTGCAGAGACACGAGTCAGAGACTAAACTAGGACTGACCTGATGGACTGATCCGGAAACACGGACCATCTGAACCCGCTCTCCCCTACTGCAGTTTTTCCCCTTTAAAATGATTTTAAAACTGATTTATAACCTGATAAACTCTAAAGAGAAGTTGGTTTGACATCAGTGAGTCACTCGGTCGGTCAGGGAGAATTATCGTGAATCTTTTTCCTGGACTTCATGAGACTCAGGGTCCAAACTGAGGTCCCTCTATGAGTCCAGAACGTGTCCTTACTAAAACCCTGGTACCTCTGCAGCTCCCCTCACAGCGCCCCCTGCAGTGATCTGAACCAGAGACTGCAGCAGCTCCAGAGCCACTTCACCTGGGACCTGAAGGAGGACGACGTGGACCTGGAGGACCTGAGCGCTCGACTCAACGACCACATAGATCTGGAGCTTGGACACCAGGGGGCAGCAGCTCGCTCCTCCAGCCTCCTGGCTTATGTCAGGTACGGTTCTTCTGTAGACCGGGGGTCCGTTTCACGTAGCAGGTTTAGTGGAAACTCCGAGTTTGTTAACCCTGAAATCAGGGAAACTCTGAGTTTTCCGTTTCACAAAGGAGGGTTAGTTAAACCAGAGAGAGAGGGGTAACTCTAACCTGTTTCACAAAGAGAGGTAACTCAACCTCGCGGTCAGTTACCACAGTAACAGACTCCGTGAACCTAACCTGCTCGGGAGCAGGTTTAACTCAGTAAACCCAGAGTTTCAGGTGAGACATCGGCATTTTGATCATGTTTTACATTGTCAAGTAAGTATTAAGTGGCAGTTTGATCCCTTAAAAAATGCTCTTTTCACACTCAAAACTGAATTTTACTCTCTTATTATGTTCCGTTAAATGATTAGGAATATTAAACTAACACAAAAACGGGTGGTGGTCCAGCAGCCCCACCTTTAACGGAGGCAGAGGAGCTGCCCCCCACCCCACCCCCGTTCGACGATCGCGGCCGGTCCGATCGCAAATCCCCCCCCCCCCCACAGACACACACACACACACACACACACCAGTCCGACGATCGCTGCTACGGGGTGGGGGTTTCGATCGTCGAGGGGGGGGCAGCTCCTCTGCCTCCGTTAAAGATGGGGCTGCTGGACCACCACCTGTTTTTCTGCCCTCTTTCTGTTTGCTGAGTGAAAGTCTAATATTGAGTGTAGTGTGTGTTAGTTTAATATATGTACATATACATACTGAGAGTTAGTTTAATATTCCTAATCATTTAACGGAACATCATAAGAGAGTAAAATTCATTTTTGAGTGTGAAAAGAGCATTTTCTAAGGGATCAAACTGCCACTTAATACTTACTTGACAATGTAAAACATGATCAAAATGATTCAAGCAGTTTCCCTGCAACAGTCTGTCATTGTGTTTGCACGAGACTAGATTTAAAATTACGCATTGACGCGAGCAGCGATTTCCTCCCAAGCCCTCTCCCTCTCCTTTGCAGCTGCTGCTGTATTGCACTTTCTTTTACGAACGTGCTGTAATTCGCTGTTGGCTTGCTGCTGCCCCTCCTTCTCCCTGTTTCCATTGGTTGATCATTGAATCTGCGCTCCACAGATGCTGGCTGTTTATGTCTGGCGTGCACGTGCTTAACTCCAGGTCAAACTACTCGGAGTTGTTAAAACCGTCTCAAATCAGGTATTGTGAAACCGGAAACTCAGAGTTTCCTAACTCAGAGTAGATCAACTCAGAGTTAAGGATTTAACTCAGAGTTTGTTGAACCACCTACGTGAAACGGACCCCTGGTCTGCTCATGCGGACCCCCCAGTCAGTTCTTCAGGTCCCTGCTCTCTGTAGTCTCATTATGACCCAGTAGGACCTCAGCACATATTTATATTTATTTATTATGACAAAAGTTAGTTACTGATAACAGCCGCTGAAGGACAGAAAGGGGTCAAAAAATTTAAACTAAATTCATAAAAATAAACAAAATTAGTCATTTAATGTGATTTTTACCCAAAGTAGTGACATCAGCTCTGAGTTTGGCATTTAAAGGGTTAAAAATCATAATAATATTAATGTTACGATCAGGACTGAGACTGATGAAGAGAATTTAAAAAACTTGTGACTCGAGGGTGAACTCAGGGTCGGTCTCACAGCCGTCTGTTGGTCCTCAGGTTTCTTCAGGGTCGGCCAGAGGAGGCGCTGTCACTCCTTCACCGATCAGAGGAGATGACCAGAAAGTATTACGGCGAGGAGAACGAGTGGCGGCTCATCGTGACGTACGGAAACCTGGCCTGGCTGAAATATCACGGCGGAGACTTCGAAGAGTCCGAGAGCTTCTGCAGGAGGGTGGAGGACGTCCTGGTCTGTGTTCTCCAACCAGGTTTCTGCGCTGAGTGACGGAGGGACGCTAATCTGATCATCTTTGTTTCCTCTGGTCCTTAGGCGGCTTCTCCTGCAGAGCGCCACCATGAGGTTTACGGAGAAAAAGGGTGGAGCTACCTGAAGTTTTCCAGAAACCACTACACCAAAGCCGTGGACTGTTTCCGTCGAGCGTTGGAGCTTCAGCCCGACGACAGCGAGTGGAACGCCGGCTGTGCCATCGTTCTCTACCGCCTCGAACCGGTCCGTTTGAATCCAGAACCGAGTCCCACAAACCTCTACGGATCCAGATTATCGGTTTTACTTCTGCCGACTTTCTCACTTTCAGAGATCCACGACAGACCGGGACGTCGAGTCGTCGCCGGCGGTCAAGCAGCTTCGCCTCGCCCTGAAGATAAACCCCGATGACGGCGCCCTGCTGTCGCTGCTCGCTCTGAGTCTGCTCAGTTTTGAGCAGCTCAAAGAGGCTGAAGGTTTGGTGGAGCGAGCTTTGACGGTCGACCCAGAAAACCCTCACGTCGTTCGATACGTCGGCAAATTCCTGCGTATTCAGGTACGCCGGAACAAACGTCCAACAACGGGTAAACCGGTCAGAGCAGGAGCTGTCTCTGTTTAACATGGGGCTCTATGGGGACTGACTCACTGTGGGAGACAGCCCCTAGTGGACACTGGAGGAAGTGCAGCTTCATGACTGTCACATGACCTGTCAGTTCTTCTCTCCTGACACGTCTCAACGTTTCTATTTCAGGGCCAGACTTCACGGTCTATCCAGCTCCTGAAGGGGGCGCTGCAGAGGAGCAGTGAGTCCGCCTTCATACACCACCAGCTGGCGCTGTGCTACAAGAAACAGAGGAGCGGTCTAAAAGGCCAAAAACACGTCAAACAGAAAGGTACGTACACGAAGACAGGAGTCTGAGGGGGTCCAGGTCTCACAGGGGGGACGGCGAGGAACTGATCAAGATCAAGATCAAGATCCTCTGAAGGTCTTTGCTGAAAAATTCATGGTCTGCTCCTAAACCTGGAGATCTTCTTCACAACCGAGGACGCAGCATCGTTGAAATTTCTTCTTCTTCTTCTTCTTCTTCTTCTTCTTCTTCTTCTTCTTCTCCGGCAGGATGTCCTCACATTCAGATCCAACTAACAGGATTTTTTGTTTTGACATTATTTAGAAAAAGAAAATCCGGTCTGGATTTCCGGCACCGTGCCGGAGGTCTTCAAGCCCTGGGACCTTCAGGGACTCGCAGACCTTCAGTCCGGTTCCTCTGGGTCCTGCACCCTGACCCCCTCAGTCCTCCCTGACCGCTCTTCTTTGATTCTTCTCTGTAGAGGTCGATCAGCTGAGGGAACTCTGTCTCCACCATCTGAGTGAAGCCGTCAGGATCAGACCTTCGTTTGTCATCGCTCTGTTGGATCTGGCGCAGCTGTACTTAGAGGAGAAGAACCTGAGCAGGTACCTGAGCCCACCTGTGCACCCCCCAACACACCCACACACACACACACACACCGGTCAGTAATCCTGAATCCTGGTGGTTCTTCTGTCCCACAGGGCGGAGGAACTGTTCCAACAGGGTCTGAAGAACTTGGACTCCGATAAACACATTTGTCAGATTTTTTTCCTGCGCTACGCCGACTTCCACCTGCACCACAGGAAACAGGAAGCTGAGGCCGTCGCTCACTACACCGAGGTGGGTCAGTCTGCGAGTTCAGGAGTGAAGAGACGGGGTTCTGAGGGACCGTCCGCGTTGGTCTGGTCTCAGGAAAGTCTCTGTAACCGGGTTTCTGTTTCTCTCGGCACAGGCGCTGACCTTCGTGAAGGACACGTTTGAATGGACTCAGAGTGTGAAGGTGAGTCCTTCAGACCTGACTGACCCCCGACCTCCACCTTCATCCTGATCGTCTCCTAAAAGGTCATATCCTCCGATCGTAGCTGATCGTAACCATTCAAGTTAACGTGTCAATTTACACCGACTTCTTTCCGTTCCTCTGCGGATCGCCGGACTCCTCAGCTGATCACAAGAGTTCTATTTTTTCTGGACGCCGGAGCATGGCGGATAAATTCAGCACAGATTAACCCGTGCTGGAAAGGAAGTCGGGCACAGACACAAAATAAAACATCCGGCTTCTTTTCAAAATAAAACACTCCGTGTTTCAGGAGGATCGTATTTCACACCATGCAAACGGACGGAGACGAACAAGTGAAAGGTTTTTAGACGTCATTTCACCCCGATGACACCATGGATGAGGAGATGCTGATTCTAGAAGTCTAGAAGTAGATTTCCTCCTCTGGAAGGACACAATCTACTGCTTATATGTCTATGTGTCTGTCTTTAGAGAGACGACTCGTTATCGAGAGATTGATCGTGAATCTGCAGGTTCTTGTGAGTTCTCGTGATTACCGATGTCCGTAATCCGTCACGAAATTCTCCTTACAAATAGATCCGGTAGGAATTGGCGAACGGTGAAAATCGCCGCCGTTCAGGATGTGGTGGAAATTGGGGGTCACATGCAGCCTGTTTGAAACTGTTGGTGGTCTCACTCAGACTCTTCCTGTCGTTCAGAGGTTGAAGCAGATCGCAGATCGGCGTCTGTCAGAGAATGAAAACGACGGCGGGGCTTACGGCCTGCAGGCTCTGGTGTCTCGGGCTGAAGGAGACCTGAAGACGGCGGCGGCGCTTTATGAGCGCGCTCTGGACTGTGACAAAGACAACCAGGAGTTCCTGTCTGCTCTGTGTGAGCTCCGACTGCAGATCTGAAGAAACGTTTCAGTCTTGAAGAGCTCAGGTCGAGATCTGATCGATCAGTTTGATCGATCAGCAGAAAGGTTGACCTGAACAATAAACACGAAGACTTAAAGAGAGACTCCGTGTT